ATAACTCTTCTCTTGTAATTAATATCAAAAATTTTTTTCAAAGAAACATTTCACCAGCTCTTTGCCTTCTACTTCTCTATTTTGCTGTTTCAAGAATTGTTTCGAATATTTCAGAAATCTTTTCTACTTTCCATGATAAAAGTTTCTGCAATTCTGAGGAACTAGATCTTCTCGTACCAGAGATGAGCTGTAAATGAATAGCTGCTATAATTTTGACTAGAAGTAATAATATTTATGGAACAAGATGCAATTATAAATATTTTGATGTTTCTATCAGACGTAGAACTAATTTGCGCAGAATGATACTTTCTTCCACTCACGTCACCGTCTCTCCTTCTCTTTTTTCTACTATTCTTACCAGCTTATCATCAGTTCACTGTATTCTTGTCTAGCGTCTTTTTTACTGAAAGAATCTGCTTATTTTTTGTAATTAAGTAAGCGACTTCGGCCAAAAAACTTCTTCGTGTTCTGCTTTATAAAACTTGCAAAGTTCGTCGTACAAGCACTCCTTTCTACGACCACGTTTTCTAAAACAGAGTGAAACAGATCTTCAAATCTTAGTCTCTTTCTCTTTATCAGTGCTGCGTACCTAAAGCACATGTCATTTACAATAGAAAAATATAGCAACACCTACTTTTTCAGATCCGACTAACAGAAAATTGAAGTATGTAATTTCCGGCATCTGTGTTTTGTAGAATGTACTTTGACTCAGATTTTTTCTTTCTTTGCATGAGATTTTCTCGTATTTTTCTTTTCTTTTCAAACAGTTAACGTAATATACTTCTAAATAGTATTCTTGTTTGAATTCTGTGCCGTGCGATCAGTTGCCTAAGCTTTTTATCCAAATTGTCACGGTTCAAACTGATAAAAACGTTATTCTCTCTGCATTAAAACTGTAAAACTCTGGCTTCTAGACCATAAACTGCCCTCACCAGTTGAATTTCTTCTCTAGTTCTTTTTTATTTCAGCTATTCCTTCAAGTAGAGAAGTTTTTTTTTACCAATGTACATATGTTTTTAAAGTTTACTGCGACCAAAAACAGTCACCAGAAACTTATCTGTTTTTCAAATAGCAGATAAACTTCTAAAAATTTGAAAATTTTTTTTTACTTGCAACTTATTATAGGTTGAAAGTAAGAGAAAAATTTTATCCTTGCTTTACAAATTTGTTTACATAATTTCCCTTCACTAGCTGCTTTAGTAAATCACTGAACAACTTTTTTGAAGATATTTGAATTTTTCGTACGTCTCTACTATTAATACCTTTCTGCTCTACTTTAAAACTTTTTTTTGAAGAAAGATAAGAATAAGCGTTTTTTTAAAAATATAAGCTCATTTGTTTATCTTTCACATGTTTTTTAACTTCACTTCTGATTTCTCTTTAACTCATCTCAATATATTTTCGCATAAATCAGTCATTAAAAAAGTTAAAAAAAAAGGTTTACGTCAGGAACAAGAATAGAACAACTATTCCGCTTTAGTGAGAAAAATATAAAATTTTATTTAAGAAGCAGGAAATACAATTTCTTTTGGGCCTAAAGACGTAAAAATTCTGCTCAATCTTAAAGAAAACAGAGCGATCACTTCTAAGCAAAACATTAAGACTACTTCCTCTGTAGTGACGTAGAAAAGGTTTGTAATAATAATTTTTTGGCGTTTAAGAGTCTGGAACTTATTATCAATATTTTGAGACACCACTCTATTTACATGTCGACTTCGACGTGACTAATGCTTACTCAAGCCACGTTACTTTAGATATAGTTGAATGTTATAAATCGTGTTGAACAATTTGTATGTTTCTTCGCAATGATTTTCTCTGTGTCACACTGCAAAGCAGTGTAACGTGTTTCTGATCAAGATTTTGGAAACTGATTAAAGAAATCAAAACTTAATCACAGAATCAAATAAGTACGGCGAAAAAAAAATTTTGTAAGACAGAGTATAAGTGGTAAAGAGTTCAGGAAAACTTACCACACAGAAGCTTTAAATTTTTTGAAGCAAGTAAATAAAAAATTTTGGGAATAAATAAGCTTTTAAACTCACGTAAATTCTGTTCTCTATTGTAAAATTTAAAAAATGACTTGTAGAAACTTTGTCGCAAGTGAATCATAAAACCAAGTAGTAATTTAAATTTTCAGAATTTTATGACAATGTCGCAGCATTATCGAACTTTTTTTGGAACACTTTTCGTGCAAGTTATCTTTCCTTATTCTGTGCTTTTTCTTTCTAGATTCCACTTCTTAATTTTTTGACTGTAGTCTTATAGACATTCCTTTCTTAATGCAAACTTCTTTCTGTCTTTTTTTATCAGGAAGTTATTAAAAGTACACATTACTTTCATTTACTATCCGATAAGTGAAAGAAAGAGCTGAAAAGAAAGATGTTGCTTTTCATCATTGGTTCAAACATTGTTAGTCTTTACAAGTGTTAAAATACTCTCTTATTTAAGTGCTTCACACAGGGATCACTAGAATGGTCCTTGTTATAACACTGTCGTCTTAGCCTCCAACAGTTGTACCTGACCCATCTTTGTTAAAGACCTATAAAAGCTCTTTTGTCGCCTAAAATAAGACGAGCACAATTTTATGGTCATGTTCTTACTACACTTAACTTAAATTTTCATTCAAAACACAGTTTTTCGTATTCGTATATTTGAATTAGAAAAGAAGAATAGAAAGCAGTAACTGGCAGAGGTAGTCGGCACCTTTAGAGGAAAGAGAACGTAAAAATAAATGGCTTAGAAAAACCCAATAGTTAACCTAATTACTACTATTAGTACTTTTATGATACTGCATTATTATGAACTTAAAATTAGCTGAAGAGGAACAGAATAGAGGATAAAGACTGTAATAAAATTAAACTTTCTTTTAGATCAAAGTAAATGGTTCGTTTGTTTATCTTGAAAATAGTGCATATGTAAAAGACTTGGAAGTACTATAAGTAATAAATTTGATTTTGCAAAACGTTAAAATTTGGAAATTTTGAGAAACACTGGGAGCGAGAATTACCACTAACGCGTCTCTTAAATTTTATGCAAAAGGTTAAATGACTTTTTCTCTGTGCTGAAAAAGACAAAAAAGAATGGGTTTGCAAGAGAAAACTAAATCTTTGCATAGTATTTTTTCACCATTCAATCAGCAGGTTTACTTACCAAAAAACTTGTGTCAAAATTTTGTAAACAATGGTATGAGGGCAAAGGAGTAACCATAAAGTTAAGCGTATTCTTTTCACTTTAAATATTCATTTCTGCAGCTTTGTAACATCTAAACAAAATTAATGGCGCAAAAAAGGTAAGAAATGAAGAAAATTCAAAAATTATTTTTCTCCGCTCTTTTTTGTCTTCTGCAAGGGAGATAAAGTTTTTTGCTTTTATCTAAAGAGTATTTACAAACTGCTGCTAAAATTTTACAATTCATATATGAATTTGTTTTGAGCAGTAAAAAATCGCCTAAAACGCGTTTTTTCTAGAAGATTTCAAAAATAGCAATAAAAACAAAAACGACAAAAGCGATAAAAGAAAATAGATTATTTGTTGCAATATATATATGCTGCCACTCGATCGTATAATCTGGACCAGGATTTTCCAAATTTCGTTGCGAGGTAGAATCGCCGAAGTCTCTTTGATAAGGAATACTAGGATCGGGATCTAAAAAAAAGTTATTTAAAAAAGCAAAAAAATACTGAAACTCACATAATTATTTCTTAAATTTTCTTTTGAAGTCTTTTTTGATTTTCTAATAGCGCTCTTCAATTAATGCAAAACTTCCAAGATGGTCTCAAAGTTACCAAATTTACATATCAATACTGTATTTTGTTCAAAAAGAAAAGTAATTTTAAGCATCAAAGCGGTACAAAATAACGCAAAAAAAAAACGATAAAGATTTTATTTTCTTACAAGTGCTCTCAGTACCTTAAAATTTTTTACAAAAGAAAGTGAATCTATGAACTGACTCTTTATAGTTAGTTCTCCTGCACGTCGATGACTCAGCAAAAACATTAGGTAATGCCAATCTGTCAGAAATTTGAAAAAGTAGCATATATGAAACTATTGCATCCAAAAATGAATGAAAAAAGAAGAAAACTTGAGAAAGTAATATTTTGAAAGGTCTAATCTAAGAAAATAAAAGTAAAAAGAATTTAGAAAAAATAAATAATAATCTATCAACAGTCATGCTTTATCTTTGCCTGCACAAAATTAGGATGTCTTTTCCAAATAGTTACTTTTTTTTTATATAAACAGTTAACTGCGTTTGCCTGCCAGTATTGTTTAACAGACTTTGTATTTAATCGGCAATAATTTTAAACAAGTAGCAATCACTTTAGACATGAAGACAGAGAGAAAAAGAAGAAAAACCGCGCTAATTAATCATCACTAGTTATTAACGACAAAAACAGCATAACTCTTCCAAAGCTTGCATCGCTGAATCGGTGTCGAAAGTAAGTCAATTTATATTCTTTAGTGCCTTATGCACACTAGAAGACACACACTAAGCAGATAATCGACAACACTTTTTACACTTTCCACTTTCCTTTGGAAGAGTTATGCTGTATTATTAGCGACAAATACTGCGCAGTTTTACTGTGCAACAAATTTGCATGCTACTACTCTGAAACGCTCGCTATGTGCCAGTAATTTTAGACAAAACTATGAAAGAAATTTAACAACATAATGCTTAAATTTTTCTAGTAGCGTGTCTTGTTTGATAGACATAATGCAATTTATTAAGAAGGTCAGAAATAACTGTTTATTAAAGCGCTCCACAGGCAGAGCTCAAGTTTTTCGGTAATCGGCAGCATTCCCCCACTCGCTAAACCTCTTGCTCCGCTTATAGTTTGAACAGCAGAGCAAAAGATTGGAATTGGAAGCAAAATACCGCTAACGCAAAGCGTAGAAGTGTGAAATCTGTTAAAATCTTCAAAGTGGGAAAGTGTTAAAAATGTTGTCGATTATCTGCTTAGTGTGTGTCTTCTAGTGTGCATAAGGCACTAAAGAATATAAATTGACTTACGTTCGACACCGATTTAGTAACGTCGAAGACTAATGTGATGAACGTTAACCAGGAGGACATTTCAACAAAACCACTTACGTCTCAATGTGTATTTAAAAAAATAAGTAAATACATAAAATAAAAAAAAAGGTAGTATGAAAAATTATGTCAGTTAAAGGATCTGACTTTTTTACTACGACTCGTCGTTGTTAGGGATTCAAAAGAGAGACACAAGAAGATTTAGCTGTGAAAAACAAATTGAATTTTTAGTAAGCTCCAAGATCAAAAAACACAGCAGTATAATGCACAAAATGTGATTTTTGACTAAAATATTTTCAGCGTAAAAAACTTATCCATTTCATAATTTTCTCTGTATGCCAACTGAATAATTTTAAATCTATGCGGTAATTAAAGCCTTCCAAAAACAAAATAAAAAAATTTTCACACGATGGTTTGACAAACTAAATTTAAAAAAAAAAAGTGAAAGAAAAGCACATATTAGCGTCTTAAAAAAAATTTTTGGATTCGGCTTTAAAATAACATGTTTTATGTGGAATTAAGCGCAACGAAATTTCAGCTATAGTAGGCGGTAGGCACATTTGAGAATAGAATTAATAAATTGAATCGAAGTGCGGAAAATAAGGGTAATAGTAGTATATTTCAGACAATTATTTCAGGTAGTCTATCAGTTAAGCTGACTTTTTCAAAAAATGAATAAAAATAGAAAATAGGAAAGTTCCCGTAAAGAATGTTAATCCACTTAATAAATCTTCTCAAAGTACACTGTTCTTACACTTATTCCTTTCTGTTTGTGCAACCCGGTACAGCAATTTAAATCCTACTGACTTGTTTTCAAACTTTTACATTTATAATTCTTAGTTAGGTTAAAATAACAAAGATGGATCAGATCCTTCCTTCTCTCCAAAATCTTGGGGAGTCTACATTCGCTACGATTCCGCCATTCTAAGACAATTTTTTTATGCATTTAAAGCTTAAGTCATGCATAACAAGGAATAAGATGTAACAGATACCGAAATTTACAAAATCTTGAAGACACACCTCCTAAATTCTGAATAGAAGCTACTGATTACTAAAACATTTTAGAGCTTTGGTTATTCACTGTTATGCAGTTTAGCGTAAAATAGTATCAAAATATTTCTTATTTTTTTATCTGATCTCGCGGTCACCATCATAATCTCAGTTATAAAAAAAAATTTTCTAGCCAAGAAAAAAAAAACAAAATCTCTGCTCAGCTTTTTTTTTCGTTAGGATTTTACAGTTCAACTTGATGAAAAAATCATATAGTTTTATCAATTTTCAAGTTTTAAAGTAAAAAATTTTTTATTTTACTCTTGCGCTCCAATAAAGTCGCTAAACAGACTGCTAACTTCGTAAAATTTGTATATTAGTTTTATTATAATTAGACTCACCGACACAACAGACAATTCGATTAACCATTTTGGCGACTAGAAAAAGTTTATGAGACGGTGGAATTGTTCTTCGAATACGACATAATGCCAGTGCTAGTAAACTTAAGATCATGCTAACCCATGTCAATACGAACAAAGTTTCAAAGAATGTATCTAAAAGAATAAGTGTCAAAAGTGGAATTTATTAAGTTGAAAACAAATTTTTGAAGTAACAAAATAGGCTAGATTTAGTCATATTTTGTTGCTTGTAAAAATTTTAGATCTGACAGTTGGTTTGCTTTTTGATGAGTGATTGGTTGGGAAAAAAGCGATGTAGTTTTATGCAGTTTGCCCTTTCAATTTTTTTACATTGTGGTAATTAAAATAGTTGTCTGCTTCTAACCGTTTGAAATATTATCCAGTAACAAGAAGCTAACTAACATATTCTTGGTTTCGTTCCTTCAAAGCCGTTTGTAGGAGCCATTGCACATAAGTAAATAAAAGATATTGTTTGTAGGAACAACGTGAAAAGTTTAACAAAAATTTGTGTCCGGAGGTCTCCAAAAAGAGGTGATACCAACATCACCATTGTTGCAATAGTAATTGGGAATCTGATTGCGGTTCGAAGGGTCCCCATTCGCTTTACAGCATGAACACAGATCCGAAGCAGTTGAGGTCTAAATCCTCCCACCTTTACAGTGTCTATTGTTCGTCCCTGAAATTGCACATAAATTAACAAATAAACTGTTTTGAAAACTTCTTTTTCTGTTTTTGCACTTCTAACTAGGGCTGAAAAGCCATTATTTTTTTTTGTACTGCCTTTTACGACACTTCCTGATATAAATACTGTTTAGCTTACCTCAACAGTCCAAGCGGAATTTTCATGAGAGATAGAAAGTACTGCATCGCTTGATTTAACCGGAACCAACCTGTCAAGCACTGTCTTACTTTTTGCTGTCACATCAAAAAGCAAATACTGTGGTTCTTCTTCAGCAGTAAAGAATAAGCAGCAATCATTTTTTTCTTCTGGAAACCTACAAATAAAGTTTTCTAACCTTAAAAAACCAGCAAAACCTTCATAGAAAACTTAATCATGATTAACTATAACCTAACGCTTAATCATCTATCTCGAAAACAACAAAAATAAACAACTTAAACGATTATTTTAGTGAATTAAAGATGTTAACCTATGATAATCGACGATACAGTAAGACGGATAACGAAAACTGTATACGGCAGCAACTGTTCCGTCGGAAAGCAGGGTTGTGCGCTGACGTTCACTCCAGCAGCCTTCTGACGCTTTACACATTCTAGAATATTAATCTTAAAAATCAGGTTTAATGCACCTTTCGTTTTACTTATGAAACATTTACAAGTTAAAATTTTATAGAATGTGTGATTGTTATAAACCCTCAACATATTACATTATTGAACTTGTCGAGGGGGTGGTTCTTTTATAAGTAACACATTTCATGTTCACTTTTAATAATGTTTCTTCCTCTTCTTTAAATTTGACTATTCCGCAAGTTTGCTTACAGTATAAGAATAAATTTACCTTGTTCATTGAGCTAAACCATCTTAAACTAAGAAAAAATTAAAAATATGGAATCAGCAAAAGAATTATTTAGACGTTGACATGTTTAATTTTTCTAGAATTTAACGCATCCATATTAAGGTTTTAAAATTCGTTTGCTATCACATTTTCTGCATTTGCTGAAAACTACATACGAGAATAATGTGCCCGTGATAAGCCTGATATATCATTTCAGAAAATGCGTAG